TTCAATGAATGTAAGTTCCCCTGAGACAACAATAAAGAAACTTGCATTGGCACCAATGGGACCTTTTGTCCTATTGTAATTAACAACTGCAGTAAACCTTCGATTTAATGGACTTTGATTTAGCAGATTTCAGATGCAACAGACACAATTTTTCTATACACTCTATGCTTTTGTGCATGTGGAAAATCCCATTTGCCATTTTATGCACATGTAACATGCATAAAATATATAAAATACCCTTGTATTTTCATTTTTCATTCCATCTGCCATTTTACATATGTATAAAATCCCATTTGGATTTAGTGGACATTCTTCTTTAACAGACTCTCTCCCATGAAATCAAGGGTTTACTGCAGTGCTTTTCAGACTTGGCATCTTTAAAATATGTGGACATGCTAGCTGGGGAATTCTGGGAGTTGAAGTCTGCACATCTTAAAGTTGTCAAGTTTGAGAAACACTAGTTTAAGTATATGGTGTGGGAAAAGGAGGTGTTAATTAGTGTTACTATACCCTCTCCCTTGCCGATTTTTTTACGTTGAATCCAAGGCTCACCATATATAGTAAACTTCAGGACTAAGTTGGCACTAAAATAGATTGAAAACTTAGAAAAGTTTTTCAGACAACAGTTATTTAGAGTTGAGATTACACATGACATTTAAAGATACAGAATAGCAACTATTAATTAATAGTGGAAGCTCTGTGACTAATGCAGTTGTTCATAAAAAATAACAGTGGCGGTAATATAAGGAAAAGAGCTTTTAAAATATTGCTGCAGCAGATAACTTTGCATTTCTAAATGGTCATGGTTTTTGCCACAGATACAATATACATTTCCTTACTATAATGCATTGGATTAAATACATACTGTCTGTCTGGCAAATGTTAATGATGGAATGGAGATCCTGTAGATCCTGTCATATAAGATAAAAGACAACCTGTTTTTACATGTTCCAAAAATTTCTTACAGATTAGTCTTACCATCAGCAGTGGCATAGGAGAGTTCACTTCTGAATTCACTAAATCTGACTCAGAAAAGGAATCAGAGAACTAGAGGACTGGTTTGCAACTCTGAGGCAAATTATTTGACAGTATTTTTTCAAGTCTATATGCAGTTGGGTATTTGCATCTCTCACAATACTCATATTTTTAAAATAATATATATATAAATATATAATCACACCTATCTAAACTATGTGTGTGTGTGCATGTGAGTGCTTTTGAGTCAATGCTGACTCCTAGCAACTTCCTGGACTAGTCCCTGTCATTTTCATGGGAGATTTTTGGAAGTGGTTTGTCATTGCCTTCTTCCTAGGGCTGAGAGAGAGGGACTGGCCCAAGGTCACCCAGTGTCAGACCTCCTAGATAGACCAGACTAGGAAACCATGAATGATAATACTTTTATTATGAAGTTACAGCAACAGAATCTTGCAAGTCTGAATGTGCTTCCTCTCTTTATCTTCATGAGAACTAGGGTGGGTTTTGTCTGAAACGCTTACTCAGATTACAGTTCTGACCCGGACTCAGATTTCTTTTATCTGGCTGTTGTCTTGGTAGCAACTCTTCCTCCTGTTCCTCAAGGTTATTCCTTCTGTCCATTACACTCAGCTGGCTTTGTGCCTAAGGTGGGACTAGAACTCATGGTCTCCTGGTTTCTGGCCTGATACCTTAACCACTACACCAAACTGGCATACACATATGCACGCATAGATATATTAGCTAGATAAGCTAGTAGGATTGATACAAATCCATTGATATTAAAAACAATGAGATTCCGTGGATGACCATTAATTCAATGATGAGATAAGCAGCCCTGTAAAAATGTCATCATTTGCTGACAGACACTGCCTGATTCAGGAGAAAGTTATAATAGATTTCAAACATTCCTACTCACTTTCTACTCACTTATGATGTGACTCCTGGTAATATACAGATGGAATGCAGTAACTGGCATTTTAAAGATGTTTGAAAGCAATTAATGACTATACCAGACTTGAAATCAATGTCCTCTCTAAAAAGCAAAGTAAAAACTTATCTCCTACCTTTCAAAGTACTTTTGATATGTATTTTGGCTCCTGGACAGAAACAATTATGTGCCCTGCCTGTACAGGTTGACCGAGCTGGGACAATTAAGCAAAATATTAGGCTCCCAAAGGCATGAGAATTTGTTAAAAAAAGAGAGAAACTCAGTGGATAAAACGAAGATTTGTAAAGGAGTCAGATTCACAAGATATCTAGTGGGTAAAAGATAGCTTGCTTATTTATTTATTTGGTTATTTATTTATTTAAGGGTATTGGCTGCCCAACTCCAGGGGATTCTGGGCAGTGCACAAAACTAAAAAACGAAAGCCATAAAAACAGTTAAAACATTAAATCAAGAGCCAGCCTGGACTAAAATACTCTAATAACAAAATCCACAAAACAAAACGGGCCGTTAAATAAATAACCCTTATTTATTTAAATATGTCCTTCAAATCATACTGACACCATACATTATCACTAAAGCTTATTTTGCATTATTCAATTTTTTTTTACTTCATCTATCTATAACTTCTTAAATATGACACCAAATAGGAAACTTTGGTGCCCTTCTATTCCTTAATGGCACAATCCGCCATTTGCTATTGATTATATCCTTGCTTTGCCAGGTAGTTATTACACGCATCGTTTCAGTTGAGGGCCTCACTTTTCCTTTGTGTTGTCTCTGCACTCCAAGCAATAGTAGGAACAGGAGCAAAGAAGAGGATGAGCCTCAAACAAAATAATTCATTTGTATTTAATATTTAGATAAAGCCAGTTATTTTTAGTCCCTGAATAGCAGAATAATTTCTGTTACATCAAAAATTACAATTTGGCCAAGGCACTTAGGAATGGCATGAAGGCCCCTGGTTGAGCACTACCGGTTTAAGGCAAAAAGTAGGGGAAATAGCAGCAGCCAAAAGAGGCTGTCTTAAGAAGCCTGTCAGCCCTTCGAAGTTGGCTGTGTTAACGAACAGGCAGTCATTCCTGGAACGCTCTTTACCGTAATAAGGCTGCCTCACAGAATTTTGAAAGTCTATCTCATTTTCTCTCTACTCCATTTTATGCCAAGCAAAACAAGGCAGGGTTTTTATTCCTCCTTCCCAGGACGGTGGATCTTTTTCCGCAAGTTCCCCCTTGACATCTCACTTATTCCTTCCCTGTCCCCCAAGGCCAGCTCTAAATCCCTTTACAGAGCTGGACTGATTCAAGCTGTTTCCTGGTGCAAGTCTAACCCTAACCCTAACTCTTTCCAACATGCACGGGGAAGTTGCACCCGTGCCCTCAAAGGGGTGGAGCTTGTGGAGCGACATTGCAAGGCTGCTTCCCTCATTCTGACACCAGCCACAAGAAAGGACAACTGTGCTCCTGTGGGCAAGCGGCTCGTGTCCCTCTCTAGTTGTTGCTGAGTTACAACGCCCAGCATCCTTTGCTGTTGGCCATCTCGGATGTGCATTTCAACAACATTTGACAGGGCAGATTTGGTTTTCCCTGCTCTGGGCATTCCTAAGCAACCTGCCTGTTAGGGATTTGGCGGAATGAGAAGATTATAGCTCTGTGTTGTAGGATTGGTCTCAATTACCTTTAAAGTCACCAGTATTTGTGCAGTTCCAAGGTATTCCACAAGGGCCAATTTACAGCCAAGGTTGCTTTTACGCATAATTACACTGAGGTGACTCCGTTTGCTCTCCACATCCCTCTCCATCTAATAGCACACTTATGCTGTTCTGTAATGTGCGGCTAGTCTCTCTATGTTCATCTTGGTGCTGGGAATTTTATTTATTGGGCATTGGGGAATGATCATTATCCTTTTTATCAAGTAAAACATTCATTATGGTTTAAAAGATGACAGGAATAGATAAAGAAGAGAGAAACAGAGAGAACAAAGCAATGGCCTCGTCAGCTTCATGACTCTCAAAATGAAATTGTGGAGTTCCATCAATCAGTGTAATGAAACTGAGGTTCTCTGATAAACGGTTACGTTTTGAATAAGTGAATATTCTGCACCCTCAACTTATTTGCTCCGTCTTTTACATTTCTTTCTATTTATCTTTGCCTGCATAGTACACACACCCTGACTCCGACACACACACAGACACACACACACAGTGCAATACATATTTCACATTTTATACTTAATTTTACATTACATCTCTCAGTTGTTGTTTGTTTCATGTGCTTCAGATCTGAACTTCTTTGTGAATGCACATGGAGTCAGGATTTAATTCTAGCCACGGGTTTAGATGACAAGAAATGGATTTTGAATGAAATTACTGAGATATTTAAAAGATAACTAAAGTAAAACATATCCATGTAAGTGATCATCTCCTAAAAGGGGAGGAAAAAAAAAACAATTTGACACTGTTCCTCTCTGAGCTGATATAGTCACTGTAATTTAAATGAAGGGGAGAAAACGTGAAGCATTTTAAATACAGTACGATGGAAAAAATAATGCAAATGCAGGAGTTAGTAAATCTACTTTTGAACTGAATTAACTTTAGCATATTTATCTCCTTTACAAAGTGTTTGGTTTAAATGTTGATAATATGACTGTTAACTTCTACACCATCAACAGAAAATGGGGGGGGGGGGATTAACAGCGCCTTGTGAAATTGGGCATGCTGGCTGGGGAATTCTGGGGGTTGAAGTCCACTCATCTTAAAGTGGCCAAGTTTGGACAACACCGATTTAAATACTGTGATTTTGTTATGCATCCACATGGATAAACATCCATGTCATACCTATGCTCATTTTCTGCAGGACACCTGTGTTCTTATGTGATATTAGGGCTATACAAGATTCAGAAATGCTTTACATTTTGGGCAAAGGCAGCATCTTTCTGCTTTTTGGTAAAGCAGTGTGACTTCTTTTTCTGGCTTCCGTCCATACCTGGAAAAGGTATTGTTACTTTAAGAGTCACATTAACTTAATGGAATGGATTCCTGAAAGCAGCAGAAAGAATTTTTTTCCCCTTGTCTCTGCAGGAGCATGAAGAACATCAGGCTGCTTTAATGAACAGTGGAGAAGTGCTGTGTTTGTGCAGGTTTGAAAACATTTCTTCTGAATTATTTTTGAAGCATGCCCAGCCTAGCAGATACCAATAAACAAAATATCTACAATTCTGATTGTGCGTTTGTTAAAGTATAAAAGTCATGCTACTACTACTAATACTACTAAGTATTAGGGGCTTAAAACTGGGTTAACGTGCAGCCTGGTGACTCTGTGCTCCTAGAAGTACAAATGAGAAGTACTTTAGAGGGCAAAGAGCAGCCAGAACTTACAATGTAGGTCAGGAACATTTTCCATCTACTTCTTTTCCCAAATAAAATCCATACAGGCTCAGCAGTCATGGCAAGTTAACATCCTTCCAGGTAGGCTTAATTGGGTCCATGAACTCCTTGTTAGACTATTAGAAGAACAGGAGTAGCAACCACTGCCTTGCAAATTTTTATCTATTTTTATTTATTTATTTATTAAATTTATATGCTGCCCATCTCCCCCATGCCCTTTGGTATTTGGCCATGGGAGAGGACATCCAATCTCCCTGGAGGACACCAGCTTGTCTAAGCTTCAGAATGTACATAGGGAGAGTGTAGACCTTCAACTGCTGTTCCTATTGTTGCTAAACAGAATCATGCTGCCCAGGATTAGCAGTGCATAGTTAGAATTGCATGTTTCTGTCTTACTCTAGAAAAGTATGTTGGAGATACGATTTGTATGGCCAGCCAGAGTCGCTTGTTGAGATGGACAGCTGTACAAATTAAATAAATAAATAAATTGTTTGGTTTCCTTGCATTAATAATTAATTCTTCATTCTGTAGCTATAACCCACCTCATCTAAAGTTGATCTTTTGTTTCCCCATTTTAAAACACCAATCAATCCTACCTCCTCTTCTTTTTTCACCTTCCTCTTTCTCAGCACTTCCTTTTGATTCCCTCCATCTGGAAACAGAACATTCAACAAGATGGCAATTTAAAAGAATCAACTTTGCAGCTAGAATAGCGTCTTTCTCTCTTGTTTTCCTGTTGTGATTTAAACATTGCTAGCAGGTAGAAAAAAGGATTGGCCTCATTTTATGCTGCTCTCAAGGTGGTGAAATATTATGGCGTATTTCATTCCGGTTAGGGTATAGTGTGCTGATGATAGTCCTTGTCCCACCCAATGCTTTCTGAGACATTTGGCAGCACTGTCACTGTGTTGATGCAACAGTGGGGTTGCGTTCTGGAGAACACCTCTAATCTCATTCTGTTATTTTCTCTGATCATCAATGCCTAATAAAAAATATCATATGGATTTAAATGGCATCCAAGCATCTGATACTAATGAAACAGGAACCTAAAATAATCTCCTCTGTTTTTTTTCTTAAATGAACTTGCCAACCTTTGAGATCATCTACTGCTCCAACTCTTCCCATCTTTAAATGAATAGGGCCTTTTCATATTGCTGCTTGGTGACCTTCTCCAGAGCAATCTGCTTGACACAAGCTTTTAATAAATAATTGTATTGGCTGCTGTTTTCTGCTGATACATGAACAATGAAAACTCAAAAGTTGTCAGCCCTTTGAGGTAGGCCAGGCCAGGAAACAGACTGCACAAGTTTGATCAGAACTATATTCTATTGCAGTGTTTCTCAAACTTGGCAACTTTAGGATGTGTGGACTTCAACTCCCAGAATTCCCCAGCCAGTGCCGGCTGGGGAATTCTGGGAACTGAAGTCCACACATCTTAAAATTGCCGAGGTTGAGAAACACTGGTCTACTGAGATTGGCCATAGCAACACAATCTTGAAAGGTTGACTATGTTTTCCCTGACCTCCCTCTTCTCCCCCAGAGAATTGGAGGGGGGGGGCAGTCTGAGCTTCTTTCTCACACCTTCTCTCTTTTTCAGGCTTCAAGCATGTTTTTATTTTTATCACCGTTTCTGCAGATTTTCTCCAAGGCTACCTCTGTGACT